GGGGGGGGGGGGGGGGGGGGGGGGGGGGGGGGGGGGGGGGGTTTGGGGCACTCCATATATGGGATATAGGTGCCGTGGAATAAGATAGAGTTTGTGAGGTTCTCGATCCCGAATAAAAAAAGCATCATTTTTGCTCCTGTAGACATTGTGTTCCCGGTGTGATCCTTAGACTTTTTAGACACTGTTCCGAAATTGTATCAGGTAATTCGTATTCGTAAACTTCCAATGTTAGAGGAAAGAAATACAGCTGACCCGTTCACGCCATCCTTAGGATGCGTTTCTTTACGAAAACCCAAGATTGGATTCTTAAATCCAAATACGAACTTTGCGTTTCTTTTCTAAACAGATTAATCCAAGACCTCTCGGATCATGGTGCATCAAAGGAACCGATGAATCCTTGCCCAGAGTGGAATCTTCCGTTCCTTTGATGCACCATGACCTGAGAGATCTTGGATTAATCTGTTTAGAAAAGAAACGCGAAATCCGTTTTCAGATTTAAGAATCCCATCTTGGATTTTCTTAAAGAAACGTGCCCTTATTAGTTTTTTTAACCTTGAATAAGTGTCATTTTTCGGGTTTGGGCCTTAATTTAAATAGGGTTTCAAGGGTCAATTCGCGACACACACCTATCCGAAATTTACGGANCCCCCCCCCCCAATTACTCTGTAACTTAACGTGAAGTGGCGACGAAAGGAAGTTAAATACTGAAACTGAAAAAGTTATAGTGTTTCCCTGGCAAGTAAAAAATTAAAAAATTACCACTGATAATTATTTAACCTTTATAAATTAAAAAAAAATTAAAAATTTCACAAAGGACTCTCTTGTTGTTCTTTTTTATTTTAGACGTTTGGCACTGCACAGGTGATTTGCTGGAGGGCAGTATAAAAATATCATGCAATGTTCTAAATTGTTTGAAATTTGTTCCAAACGTGGTATAAAGTTGTTTTGTGGATCACCTGCCGTGGTTTATTAACTTCACAATTTTCATAATCAAACTGTAAAGTGGCAGGTTATTATAGTCAGGATTTAGAATTGAATTTTCTGGGCAGCTTGTTAACAATGTATGGTTAACTTTTTCTCAGAGGCCAAACAGATTACCCAACTGAACGCACAATCAACATTTTCGGCTCACATAAATACGCTAAGCCACAAGATGTTTATATATGTATGCTGAATCTACGCCAACTTATTTTAATCGAATACGAAATTTCAGGATTGCCATCTCGTGTGTTATATTACATTGTCGCGCTCATTGTCCATGCCAAACCACTTCCGGTCTTTTTTATGTGCAATATTCTACTGGAGTTCACTTCGCTACATGAACAATATCGGTAACCCACTTGTATTTTGTGTCATGCCTAGTAGCAAATACAATTTTCCGCGTTCATAATATTTTTCAAACAGGTAGGCATGGTGGGTTAAAATTGAATCTGTATTTTATAATAATTTTCCCAATTGAAAAAGAGATTCCTTGCTATTTTTAAAACATCCTTCGGCTTTAAGAGTCAGTAGAGTTTTTGTGTTGCTTCGTTCTATTTTCTAGCCTTTTTTCAACCGAGTCCATGGCCAAACCGAGTAAACCTAACAGCGCAATTTAAGTCTTTGAAAATCGTCGCTCACAGCTTAAAACCTGACAAGACTTTTGAAATATTACGGTTCCGAACAGGTGCAACATATATTGAGGCGTATTCCACAGACGATCACGATAAGGGAATTGAATTTTCTACCCACAAAATGACGATTTCTGCGAAAATTTGAGCCTGCTGAGTGACTGGAATATCTTATACTGAAAGATTTGTCAAGTGAAACTTCCTCTGACCTCGTTGAATATTAAAAATCCTGTCTGTCGGTTTCTCAGACAGGATGTTCGTCAAATATTTCCCCTCTTCGTTTTCAGTTCGACTGAGCCGAATCTCATTTCCAAACATATCAATGAATTGACCAATCACATTGCACATTTACTCAACGTCACAATGTTATTTCAGTCGATCCTGACAGCTTTTCAGTGGTGTTCACATATCCGCCATCTTGTTTTACCTCAGTTGTTGTAGAGATTACTACCTTGTATTCGCTTTTCCTCGCTGTTTCTACACTTTATTCCGCAACAGAAAAGAACTAAACGTTCAATGGAGTGCAGGCGAAGGATTTTATGGCGTTTGGGTTGAAGAAGAGGTTAAATTGACCGTTCAATGTTGGTTTTCCGAGAGGCGAAAACGATGCCCGTGCAGCAGATTGTCGTGAACCCAGTGACTCCTCAACAAACCAACAACAAGGATAGAAAAGTAAGTTCACCTTAAATTAAAGTTTAAGGGTTGGATTTGAGTTAAGAAAAGGCGACCTGTCAGCATGTTAAGCGGACGGAATTTGCCTCGACTTTTTCTCTTTCGCGTTTGGGGTTTGTTTATCTTGTAGGACACTGGATAGCTCGATTGAATTTCCAAAAAATATGTTGGAATATGCATGGTGCTTTCATTACTAAATTCAAGCTTAATTGTGTTACAGAGTTTGCTGTAGGGAACAAAGTGATTATGTAAGAAGTTTGCGAGTTTCACGTTTCGCTTCATGCAAGCTCGCTGCTTCTGCTCCTGTAAACTACACAGCACAATTTAATTTTCGCAGCAAGCTACGAGCGGTATTAAAATTAGTTTCTTCGAGGTTTGTCTGTTGTTAAAGCTCTCTGTTTGCTTGTGGTTAATGTATTCGCGTTTATTTTAAAGTATAAGTGCTAAGGCAATGGTCGCTATATCTTTGGAAGGAACTTTTATGGACGAACGAGTTTCGTTCGTTTACATGTAGGTAGATCGTGTTACGCGTTGTCGTACGAAGTATTCGGGTGATTTTCACGGAAAAAGTAAATGATTTTGTGGATTGAGGAAGATCTCAGATTGGGGTTGATTAGCTTTAAACATCGGGTTCGAAAGCTTCTAATTACATCGAAAAAACTAACATTAAGCCAGTCGTAAGTGTTTTGGCGGAGATTTCGCAGTGTCATCTTTCGACATATACAGTACAGTCGAAAAATACAAACTTTCAGACTGTAGCGATGTGTCGCACCATTACCGTCTTTCGTGTGATTAATAGAGTTGAAGTTGCTTTTCGTTATTAATAATTACAGTGCTCAATACAAAGTGACATGTTCAGGCTTGATGTTTTTTGCGGCCTTAAGAATCTAGCCCTCGCTCTGCTGGGGTTGTTATTGTGAAGTCAGTCGTGGCATCACGAAGAGTTGATGCGTATATATGCTCAGATATATCCAGAGATCATAACACGCTGTTGGCACCTTAGCTTTGCAGGTAAAGGTGCAGTGTAATAAGTATTAACTCACGGCAAAGCTACTCTGCAGTTCATAAATTTTACGCCGTTCTCAAGGTCTGGTGTTGCTGACAAACTGTTGCAAACAAGATGTTGTTGAGCGATATGCATGTTAATTAAAGAAGAAACCATTTTTCCTTTGATATGTGTAACAATAATGCTGTTTGTCTTTTCTCGACTTTTGAAAGATATATTTTTATCAGCTAGTTTTTGGTAATTATTATTTTCACACTTTAGAATCCACTGTTGCCTTAGCATTTACGTGCTCTTTAATATTATCATGTCGCGTCATTTTTGGCAGTTGTCCAGCCTGGTCATAAAAGGCAGTCAGCATTGTCCAAACCTCTTTGAAGAAAATTTATTTCCTCTGAAGCAAATCTTGATTTTGGAGAACATAATGTAATATAGACATGGCAGAACAAGAATGTCATTGCTGTAAATAAGTTTGATAGTTTGGGTGGATATTATAAATATTACATAATAATGTTGCCCAGGCACATGCACTTGTACTTTCACACTCATAACTTTCTAAGGTGTTTCAAGACCACACACTTGCAATGAAGTAGAAATGTTTCCTTGTCCTAAATACTGAGCTTCTACTCAGCTTTGTGACCTTTCTCTAATACGTGCACTTCTAGGACTGTGTACTTTTGGACCATGCAATTTTGACAGGTGTTAGTTAATAACATAAATTTTCTTGCGCAGTTAGATGAGGTTTGACTATTCTAGATGTAAAGGGCAAAAGTACCTTCCGTAAAATACAGGCGTTAGTTAATAATGTGAATTTTCTTGCGCAGTTACAGTGTAGATGAGGTTTGACTAGTCTAGTTGTAAAGGGCAAAAATGCCTTCTGTAAAATACATATTCTCAAACAGCTCTACTTGGCATTACATGTATCTGGCATTAGCCCTTAATAATGTTGGAGACAAATGCCTTTGTTATGTACTGACTGTGAGTGGTGCAGGTAAAATAATATTGTTTTTGGCATCCTTGAGGTGAAGGCCTCTGAAAACAAGAGGACTTCCTGTATTACCTGTACTGTTCAGAGAACAATACAGATGGATACAGAATGTTGTCAAACTTGATTTGATCAGGTTCATGTAGCTTTGTTTTTTCACTTCTCACATGATTGATATACATGCATGTAGTCTTTGCTGTTCTTCATTTGGTAGTTGCATTGTTGACTGTTTGTGTATCTCCTTTTTGATTAGAATTGGCCCGTGCCCCCATTTATTTCTGTCCATTTTCCTAAGTCTTAACTATTGGTTACAAAGTCGATGCTCCTATAATTCTTTTTTTGGTTTGAGGGGGCTGGGAGGGGGGTGTGGGGGTGCAATTTCTTTGGTCCCCTCTTCAGGGTTTGTACAGGTCCTGGAAAACCTGGAAAGTCCTGGATTTTTATTGCAGCATTTTCCAGGACTGAAAAGTCCTGGAAAAAGGCTTATGGTCCTGGAAAGTTCTGGAAATCTCTTTAATTGAAGTAAAAAAAGTATGATGTGTATGGCAGATGGTAAAGAGAATTAACATTGAGATCTTGGGAGTGAAAAAGTTAATGTGACTTTTAGAGTCCTGGAAAAAACATTCTGAGTCCTGGAGAAGTTCTGGAAAAGTCCTGGAAATCTCTTTCTGAAAAAGGGTGCGAACCCTGCCTCTTTCTGCCTTATGCTTTATTACATTCAATGAAATGGAGAATGCAGTCCTAATGCAGACTGGATTGAGATTTTATGGGATAACTAATCGGTGGATGATTTCTACAGGTTTAGTTAACTGAAGAGCAGCTAAATGAACAGCTGGCACTACTGAATTCACACACATCCCTAGAATCAAGACATAGTAATCAGCCTGTCAGTATGTGGAAGACTGACCTTTTTTCTTTCAATGAAAAATTGTACTAAAGGACTTAAAACCCAAATATAACTACAACAGAGGCACTTAAACTTTTGAAGCAGTTTCTATTTCCAGATAAATCTTCGTGAGATTTGTTTCTTAGCAAGCAAACATCCTTGTTCCTAGCCTCTTGTGTATCATCTTCACTATTTACTGTTGGCTCAACTAGTGACCAGCATTATCACTTCGTGCACGTGTACATGTACCGTTGTTTAATTATCACTTGAGGAAGCTGTATTTCATTCTGTCTATTTTTGAAACACTACAGTATGTTGCGTATTATTGGTAAATTGTTTGGGCATCTCGAAAAAATAAAAGAAAGAGAAAAAGCACTGGTAAGTTCTCATTCAGAGATAATATCTCTGAATGAGAACTTGGCAAAATGGAAAAGAAAAAGGAGTGTTATCAATATTTAAGCTTTAATAATTTCCCAAAATTGAAAATCGTACTTGACAAACAGGCGAGTGATTGATGATTTGTACTTGCCCGACAATTTTCAGACTCCCATTGGTGAGTGGGCGAGTGCTAATTTCCAATACTGTCATAAAGTTTTGGCCACGAATAAATCCTGAAAGTAGATGTAGCAACCCTAACAATAGCAAGCCCTCGAAAAGTGTCGATCAATGCATTAAGTGAATCAATTTCTGTGAATCAGTTTAAATTGCAGGAAAGCAGGATGCATATTTTGGCAAGTACATGTACATGCATATTGATAGCTGTATTTTTATGACTCACAGAATTCTAAACCAAAGTCAACAGACGGGCAAGCAACAATACCAACCACGGAAAACATTAACGATAAGCCTAAAACACCACCCAAGAAGAGCATATCAATGACTTCAATGACATCGTCAATGGAGATCTGTAGAATATGCCACTGTGAGGCAGAGCCGGACCAGCCTCTGATTTCGCCTTGTGTGTGTGCTGGTTCTTTGCAGTATGTACATCAGAGCTGTCTGCAGAGATGGATTAAGAGTTCAGACACTAAGAAATGTGAACTGTGTAAATATGAGTTCCGCATGGAATCCAAGATGAAGCCCATCACAAAGGTTAGTCATGTTGAACAATATAAACTTTAAGGTACATTAAATTTGTGTTACACGCATTGCGTGTAAGATCACGCATATTTTAACTGGAGGAAGAAACCTTTGTTATTCATACACTCATTTGCATGTATTTTGCACAACAAAATGCCACTATACTAACTTGTTTTCCAAACACGTGACTCTACAAAAAGTAAATTTAAAAGCCAACAAGCATTGCTAAATTAGTGGACTAGCTTGAGCACCTATCAAACAAATACACTTTCTTAATCTGTAGCAGCCCGCACTTCTGCTTAACATAAAAACTTAACTGTTAAAGATCTCCGAGCTTTCGTGTACATTAAAACATGTACGACGTATGTCGCAACGTAATGTTTACCCCTGCACGAAATGTCATTTCAACTCCCGTTCCTTCGATAACAATGAAATAGAGATTCAGGCAGAAACTCTCTTAATCTGCCAATTGCCCACACTTGCGTTTATACGGTGAAGAATCTTAACTTTTTAAACAAAATCTAAGTGTTCATTAATTTTCAATTCATCAGATCCATGTGTAACCTTCTGACAACAACCGGCAATGTTTACACCCAGCTTGTTCGATTATTCAGCTTAAATTACAATACAGTTGACTACCGCTAAGATACATTTGAGAATATCGTGAGCTCGACTTATCGGTAGTCAAGTTAAGTCTTCAAAGAAACATGTAGCATATGTATAGTTTATTATGTGTATGGAATAAGACAGGAAATAATAACTAATTTAAAACAACTTTTGCACTGCACAGGATTTCTGCCTGGGTAGATTTGGGTCATGTGCTAGGCAAAGATATTCAAGAAACAGATCAAATTTCATTTCAATCATATCAGTTCAAAACAATATGTTTTCAGATAGAAAAACAATCGTTTCTGAGTATGTAATATTAGTCACAAATCTTCAAAGGCTTTTTAAACTTAAAGAAGGATAACTGATGGTTAATAATTAACTGAAAATCTCAAGCGAAATAATGTCTTTTGCT